GAGCTGTCGGGGTGACCCCACCACGCTCATCCTGGTGTTTTCCTGCAAGCTGCATGGAGCAGCCTATGGCAAGGGCATCTATCTGAGCCCCATCTCCAGTATTTCCTTTGGATACTCAGGTAAGAGGCTGCCTGCTCTGCCCAGTCCTGCCTGTGCTCCCATCCCCACCCCCTGCATGGGCCCAGAGAGGTTTGGCATCGTGCTGGCCAGAGGAGCCACACCGGAGTTGGCACCGTCCCACATCTGGATCACCTGCACCAGCCTCTTCCCAGCCAGGCTGGGACTTTCCCACACACCAGGGAATAAAAACCTCAGTGATTTCTAGGCTCCAAAAGCTTCTGTGCCTGCTTTTGGGGGGTTCCCAGGGCTCGGCCAAAGGGTGGGAGCACTCAGCCATCCCTGTCTGTGGCATGTGTCCCCTTGTCACCCTCGCAGTGTTCCCTGCCGGGAGTGACGGCCACCACCTCCTTCTCCACAGGGATGGGGAAAGGCCAGCACCGGATGCCGTCGAAGGATGAGCTGGTGCAGCGGTACAACAGGATGAACACCATCCCCCAGGTGACAGGCTGGGGGACACCGGGGAGGATGGGGATGGGGATATGGCACCCACAGGGTGGTAACACCGGCTGCTCTCTCCACAGACCCGCTCCATCCAGTCCCGCTTCCTCCAGAGCCGCAACCTGAACTGCATCGCGCTTTGTGAAGGTGTGGGGACGTGAGGGGGCAATGGGGGGGCATGGGCAGCACCCACAGGATCACTGGGCGAGTGGAGGAGGGAGGGAGGGTCCCCACCCCCAGCTGTGCCCCAGCACCGGCCGTGCCCAGCCGGGGCCTCCATCCCCCACCCCGTGTCCAACAGCCCCTTCCCCCGGCAGTGATCACCTCCAAGGACCTGCAGAAACACGGCAACATCTGGGTGTGCCCCGTCTCGGACCACGTCTGCACCCGCTTCTTCTTTGTGTGAGTCCCAGCTGTGCCACCTCACCGGCACCCTCGGGACCCCCC